TCTATGAGATATCCATTGAAAAACAATGTGCTGTAGGATGTCCTGCAAAAACAAAATTTTTGCGGTTCAATAAACTGTTGGAGGGCCAGATTATAATTTGAAAAGAAAAACATGAATGAGTTTCTATGCAAACTGCACATATCTTATTTATAGTGCAGAAACACTTTAAAACAATGCAATAGTTAAAATGAAGAACAATTTTAACAAATATAAACTTATTAGTTTCAATGGGAAGTGTGGGCCTGCTTTTGGCTGATGAGATAGGATTGATGTTATTTGCTTTCAAGTCATTTCAGGCTTAGGTTGACCCTGAGCAAGGGCCGGGTAAATGACCTTGGAGGGCTGTATCTGGCCCTCAGGCCTTAGTTTGAGGAGCCCTGGTCTAGATCCAGGGAAGTCATGCTACCCTCTATTCTGCCTTGGTTAAACCACACCTGGAATAAATACTGTGTCCAATTCTGGACACTGCAATTGAAGAGAGATTTATTTATTTATTCATTTACTCACACCATTTCTACCCCATCCTTCTCACCCCCGAGGGCGGCTAACACAGGCAACAATTCAATGCCAACAGTATCAATAACAACAATATAAACCAACAATATAAAATCCTATTACAATATAAAATCCTATTACAATTAAACAGTGATATTAATTAAAATTACATAATCACATAGAACAAATCACATAATCACAAGTCATATAGCGGTTTCCAATTTTCATAACAATCCTATTGTCCAAGTTCAGTGCCCAAAGTGCTGCTGTGCCCACTAGACAAAGGCCTGGCTCCAAAACCATGTCTTTAGTTTTTTCCTAAAAGTAAGGGGGGAGGTCGCCAATCTAATCTTGCTGGGGAGCGAATTCCACAAGCGGGGGGTCACCACCGAGAAGGCCCTGCCCCTTGTCCCCGCCAGATGCATTTGAGATGCTGGTGGGACCGAGAGCAGGGCCTCCCCAGTAGAGTGCAGAAACACTTTAAAACAATGCAATAATTAAAATGAAGAACAATTTTAACAAATATAAACTTATTAGTGTTTCAATGGGAAGTGTGGGCCTGCTTTTGGCTGATGAGATAGGATTGTTGTTGTTGCTGTTTGCTTTCAAGTCATTTCAGGCTTAGGTTGACCCTGAGCGAGGGCCAGGTAAATGACCTTGGAGGGCCATATCTTGGAGGGCTATATCCGGCCCTCGGGCCTTAGTTTGAGGAGCTCTGGCCTAGATCCAGGGAAGTCATGTTACCCTCTATTCGGCCTTGGTTAGACCACACCTAGAATACTGTGTCCAATTCTGGGCACGGCGATTGAGGAGAGATGTTGACAAGCTGGAATGTGTCCAAAGGAAAGCTACTAAAATGATCAAGGGTCTGGAGAACAAGCCCTATGAGGAGCGGCTTAAAGAGCTGGGCATGTTTAGCCTGAAGAAGACAAAGTTGAGAGGAAACACGATAAACAAGTATAAATATGTGAGGGGAAGTCATAGGGCGGAGGGAGCAAGCTTTTTTTTCTGCTGCCCTGGAGACTAACTGTGAGAGCCGTTCAGCAGTGGAACTCTCTGCCTCAGAGTGTGGTGGAGGCTCCTTCTTTGGAAGCTTTTAAACAGAGGCTGGGTGGCCATCTGTCGGGAGTGCTTTGAATGAGATTTTCCTGCTTCTTGGCCGAATGGGGTTGGACTGGATGGCTCATGATGTCTCTTCCAACTCTAGGATTCTATGATTCTATGATCCCGCTCTGTGATTCCACGGCGAGTCTAGGAATGCACTTGCCCTGCAGCCAGCGCCGGAGCGCGCCTGGGTCCAGCCTCTCGGGGGCGCGCAGCTGGGACAAATGCACGCTGAGCCCGCCGAACTTGTCCCTTTGCGGCTCCAGCTGAATCACCTCGGACGGCGAGGAGGAGGAGGAGGATGCCGAGAGCCTCCAACCCGAAGCCAACAGCCGCCAGCTTTGTCTGAAGCAGCAGCCAGCCCCTAACATGGCGGCTTTCATGCGCAGGCGCCGTAGAGACAGGACAGTTCGAGTGATAGGTCACACTTCCGGTACTTAGAGCGACATAGACTTAGTACCAAGAGGAAAGGTAACAAAGGTGTCCGACTTAAACTTCCGGCATCAAACCGGTGCCTAGTTCTCATAATATTCATGCTAAACTAGAATTGAACTAAGTTCGGACCTTTCGCATGATTTCCATCTCTTCTTAAAAGTAGAATAATCCACTGCAATAGTGTTGTTTGGGGTTTTAAACCCTGAGCCTTCTCTATTTTGCTTCCAATGGGAGCCGGAAGTGTCGGTTGCGGGGTGACGCAGGACTGAATAACAGTATTGAATTGAGACTCCCAAGAGGAAAGAGAGAGGAGCTCGTGGGTGGGAGCCAGGCGCGCGTGCCCAGCGCTATGTCTTCCTCCTCCTCTTCTTCTTCTTCCAAAAGGAAAAGCAAAGGGCGCCCTCCTCCCGAGAGAAATGCCTCCTCCGCCTTGCATTTCACCGCTGCAGACTTCTTGGAAAAAAGTAAGGGGGTTGCTGTGAGTTTTCCTGCTGTATTTGGCCATGTTTCAGTAGCATTCTCTCCTTACGCTTCGCCTGCATCTATGGTAGGCATCCCCAGAGGTTGGGAGGTCTGTTGGAAACTAGGAAAATTGGATTTATATATCTGTGGAAGATCTAGGGTGGGAGAAAGAACACTTGACTGCTTGAGGTAAGTGTGAGTTCTGCAGTTGGCCAGCATGGTTAGCATTGAATAGCCTTGCAGCTTTAAAGCCTGGCAGGTTGCTGCCTGGGAGATTCTCTGTTGGGAGGTGTTAGCTGGCCCTGGTTAATTCTTGTCTGTGGAATAATGTCCAGGGTGGGAGAAAGTTTGCAATGAGTTTGTTGTTGTTGTTGGAGCTCAAACGTCAAGAGTTTCTCTGGATGCATCTGCACTGTAAATTTAATGCTTTTTGACACCACTTTAACCGCCATGGCTCAGGTTACTGCCCTGCAAGGTCTTCAACCTTCAACAAATCCCATGCTTCCATAGTATTGAGCCATGGCAGCTGAAGTGGCGCCAAACTGCGTTAATTCTACAGTGTAGAGGCACCTATAGTCTCTCTGCTGCTCCATTAGTGCAGCATAGGATCGAACATTAGGGAAGCAACAAAGGCATTGGGTTGTTGTAGGTTTTTTCGGGCTATATGGCTATGTTCTAGAGGCATTCTCTCCTGACGTTTCGCCTGCATTTATGGCAAGCATCCTCAGAGGTTATGAGGATGCTACCTCTGAGGATGCTCACTACCTCTGAGGATCCTTGCCATAGATGCAGGTGAAACATCAGGAGAGAATGTCTCTAGAACATGGCCATATAGCCTGAAAAAACCTACAACAACCCAGTGATTCAGGCCATGAAAGCCTTCAACAATACAACAAAGGCATTCTTGAATTATTGCTATATCGATAACATTTGATGTCAAATGTTATGGATATTGAGATTGGGCTGTGGCGCAGCTAGTTAGTAGCCAGCTGCATTAAACCACTATTGACTGAGAGGTCATGAGTTCGAAACCAGCCTGGGTCAGAGTAAACTCCTGACCATTAATAGTCTAGCTTGCTGCTGACCTATGCAGCCCAAAAGACAGTTGCACCTGTCAAGTAGGAAATTTAGGTACCGCTTTGTGGGGAGGTTAATTGAACTAATTTACGACACCATAAAACTTTTCAGCAGCATGCGTAAGAATGAGGAAGTACTCCATCAAGGACTCGATGTCACAAGTGGATGGTGAAGTGGCAGCTCCCCCTGTGGCTGGAATTGAGCATACCTTCACGAAGTCGGAAAGCTGGAATGTTAAATTGCCTCTGTGTGTCTGTCTATATATGTTGCATGTCTGTGACATTGAACGTTTGCTATGTATATGTGCATTGTAATCTGCCCTGAGTCCCCTGCAGAGTGAGAAGGGCGGAATATAAATACTGCAAATAAATAAATAAAATAAATAAATAAGAATTTCGTTAGCGTATGTACATTTTAAATAATATCCTTTTCTTAATTTTAGCGGATGATAAAGTCCCGGAAGCATTCAAAAGATCTTTTGTGCAGCTGGCACTCAGCAACATGAAGACGGCAAATATCTGCATTGGGCGGCCAGTTTTGCTGACCAGCGCTAATGGACAACAAGAGGTAGATAAACAGTTTGGTGGGATCCTATGACGTTCTTTCAGTGGAACTCATTCCAGGGCAGGAACTAATGTCCCATCTATACTGATAATTTAACACAGTTCGAAGTTAGCTTCAAACTGCAGCGGCCAGACAACAAACTCCCACAACACCACACAAAAGAAAACCCTCAATGTGCATTTGTGCTCTGTGGTTTGTGTAATCACCATCCAGGCCTCAAATTGGTTGCATTGTTTCCTATGTAATCATTTGCACTGCGAAAACACTTTATTCTACACCAGGTTTGAAACTGCATTGAATAGAATCATAGAATCAAAGAGTTGGAAGAGACCTCATGGGCCATCCAGTCCAACCCCCTGCCAAGAAGCAGGAATATTGCATTCAAATCACCCCTGACAGATGGCCATCCAGCCCCTGTTTAAAAGCTTCCAAAGAAGGAGCCTCCACCACACTCCGGGGCAGAGAGTTCCACTGCTGAATGGCTCTCACAGTCAGGAAGTTCTTCCTCATGTTCAGATGGAATCTCCTTTCTTGTAGTTTGAAGCCATTGTTCCGTGTCCTAGTCTCCAGGGAAGCAGAAAACAAGCTTGCTCCCTCCTCCCTGTGGCTTCCTCTCACATATTTATACATGGCTGTCATGTCTCCTCTCAGCCTTCTCTTCTTCAGGCTAAACATGCCCAGCTCCTTAAGCCGCTCCTCATAGGGCTTGTTCTCCAGACCTTTTATCATTTTAGTCGCTCTCCTCTGGACACATTCCAGCTTGTCAATATCTCTCTTGAATTGTGGTGCCCAGAACGGGACACAATATTCCAGATGTGGTCTAACCAAAACAGAATAGAGGGGTAGCATTACTTCCCTAGATCTAGACACTATGCTCCTATTGATGCAGGCCAAAATCCCATTGGCTTTTTTTGCCGCCACATCACATTGTTGGCTCATGTTTAACTTGTTGTCCACGAGGACTCCAAGATCTTTTTCACACGTACTGCTCTCGAGCCAGGCGTCCCCCCATTCTGTATCTTTGCATTTCATTTTTTCCTGCCAAAGTGGAGTATCTTGCATTTGTCACTGTTGAACTTCATTTTGTTAGTTTTGGCCCATCTCTCTAATCTGTCAAGATCGTTTTGAATCCTGCTCCTGTCCTCTGGAGTATTGGCTATCCCTCCCAATTTGGTGTCGTCTGCAAACTTGATGATCCTGCCTTCTAGTCAGTGTAGATGGGGCCTTAGAGAGATTTTGCCTTGCAACCTCCTCCTCCCCCCCACCCCCCACAAAGGACCCCTGTCTAGACAATTGGAGAGTCTTTGAGCAAGTGGGACATCTACAATGTCAAAGTAATGCAGTAATCACTTTAAGTGCCATGGCAGCTTTAGCCTTTTCTGCCAAAGAGTTTTGGTGCCTCATTGAACTAGAATTTCTAGTATTCCATAGCTTTGAGCCATGGCAGGTAAAGTGGTCTCAAACTACTGTAATTCTACAGTGTAGATTCACCCATAGTGTTGGACCTGGATCTATTGCATTCTTGTTGGATCAGCTAAAGGAAATTCAGACCTGATGTTTTTGGCCTTATGAAGCACATTAGTGGGATTTCTATGTAGTGGAGTAAATGTTTTATCCATTGTGACCTTCTAGATCTTTTTTTGGTCTACTAGCAACCCATTTAACCCATTTAACCCATTTGGGGAGTGGGCTGAGCTACCGTTGTTAGCCTCAGCTTCTGCTAACCTAGCCATTCAGAAACATGCAAAGGTGAGTAGATCAATAGGTACCGCTTCTGCAGGAAGGTAACAGCGCACCATAGAATCATACTGACCACACAATTTTAGAGGCATTTATTGGCAATGATGGCTCTTTGACTTAGAAATGGAGATGAGCACCACCCCCCAAAGTTGGACATGGCTATACATTTACCTTTACTTAGCATCCCATTAGGGAGAAGTTATGGGAGTTGAAGTCCAACAGTATCTGGAGGTCCATAGTTGTCCAGCTCAGAAGGTTTCTGGCCTGTGGGGCCATTGTTTAAAACCACTTCTTAAATGGTGGGTCCTGACTCTTAGCTCACTGTTGGAGCCACAAAAAAATTGATGACAGTACAAAGGTTTGAAAACACCAACCATTTGTGCAAATCTATCTTCCACAGCATTCAGTGATTATAATAGACTTTCCCCCATTTTTTTGTTTGATACATCCCAACAATCAACAAAATTTTTCCATACAGGACTTTTATAGTAGACTCTGCAGAAAATGCTTCAGCTGTACTCCACAAAAAGGAAAGTTATCCTGCTTAGCAGTCCTTGGAAATGCTGTTTATTATTAGTAGTAAAGGTTTGCTTTTTATACCTTTTTATATATCTATCTAATTGGGGGTCACATAAAATTTTTGGGTGGGAAGGGGTCATGAGTAGAAAAAGTTTAAAAAGCCCTGTTTTAAACAAGCAATGTTATCATGTGGGTTCTTATAAACCAGAATAGTGTAGTGGTTCTTGAACAAGTCGCACTCTCTCTGCCTTAGAGGAGGTCAAAGGCAGACCATGTCTGAACAAATCTTTCCAAGTACATCCCATGATGTATTTGCCTTCAGGTCACCACAAGCTGGAAGACACCTAAAGTACATATCATAACAAGGAGTGTTCTTAGATCAGAGCCTAAGCATGCCTTGGGTAGAAAGCTATGAGAAACGTGTGTCATGGAACTGTCAAAAACTTTGCATGGATTGGCTCTCATTGATGAACATGTAGATAGTTGACATATCGTTTAGTGGTTTGGTGTGATATGTGAACTGTATGTCAACAGTACTCTTACTTGCTTTGAAAGCTACCTGGATGTTTTCTTTTCTTCAAACTAGGGGTCCACAATTTTAATGAAACTCAGCAAAACCAAATTTGTACAAGGCCTTGATTCATAATGTGATTTTTTTTTTACCCTAGGAAAGAGGGATTTAAGATTTGTTCATTGTCAGTTATGTATGCTTGCCTGATCCTAGGTCTGTACCGCGTGGCCTGTTCCAGGATTTTCCGGTGGAACAATTGGTTTAAGTGAAATCACACAGAAGAATCTGAAAGTAGTGCCTGGTAATGCAGTCATGGTTCAGCCTGTGACTGGTGCCTTGCTGCAAGCGGAGGAAATAGTTGTAAAACGCAAGTATGTTGATATTCTTATTTTTGTGCATCACCTATTTATTTATCGTGTCAGAAGCAAATTGAGAATACAGTTATACTGTATTTAAAAAACACAAACAAACTTAAAAACTTGGCATTATGCTAAATTTCCTTTGACCAGAACCTGGCCACTTGGAGTGCCTCTGGTGTCACTGTAAGAAGGTCCTCCACTGTGCATGTGGCAGGGCTCAGACTGCATTGTAGTAAGTGGTCTGTGGTTTATGCTTCTTCACACTTGCATGTCATGGACTCCACTTTGTAGCCCCATTTCTTAAGGTTGGCTCTGCATCTCATAGCACCAGAGCTCAGTCTGTTCAGTGCCTTCCTAGTTGCTCAGCCTTCTGAGTGCCCAGGAGGAAGTCTCTCATTTGGTATCAGCCAATGATTGAGGCTCTAGGTTTTAACTTGCCACTTTTGGACTCTCGTTTGCTGGAATGTTTTCTGTAGATCTTAGAAAGCTATTTCTTGATTTAAGGCATTGGCTTGATGTCTGACATTCGAACAGAGGATGTGCCGGAGATGTTACTGCCTTGGTCCTTTCATTATTAGCTACTGCTTCTCGACAGTTGTCAACAGTATAATTTTTCTGGTAGTGTAGGGCGTAGACATCCTGTGATAAAGTGGCATTTCTCATTAAGAGCCATTTTTGTTGTTTTATAGTGATGAGATGTATTCCACACTGGGCATGCGTATTCAGCAGCAGAGTAGCAAAGTGCAAGGGCAGATGCCTTGACTGTGTCTGGTTGTGATTCCCAAGTTGTGTCAGTCAGCTTTCATACAATATTATTCCTAGCATCCACTTACTGCTTGATATTCAAGCAGTGCTTCTTGTAAGTGAGAGCATGGTCCAGAATGACTCCCTGGTGTTTTGGTGTGCTGCAGTGCTCCAGTGGGATGCCTTCCCAAGAAATCCTTGGAACTCGAGATGCTTGTCTGTTCTTAAGATCACCTATGATCCGGTTTCAGACTGTTTTTCATCTGCAAATCCTATAACGTCCACACAAGTTTTTATTTTATTTTATGGGCCATCACTTTTAACACATCATCATCATCATCATCGTTGTCATTATGCCAGTTTTGGATTCAAGGAGATTTACAACAGTTAAAAGTTCACAGCATGCAAAAGTCTAAAAGCTGGTAAACTATTTCAAAATTAAAACCAGTTAACAACATAAACCATTAAACAAGTACACTGAAAAGTCTCCAGTATATTGAACAAGGCCTATTCCCCTTAAACCCTGGATACTATATGTCATTTTATAAGGTCAAAAAGTATCCCATCAGAAGTTACTTTTCACAGTGTGGCTGAAGAAATTGTCTGGTCTGAGTCATAACAGACTCTGTAGAACAGCTGAAATAAGGAAGGAAACAGAAGCTCTTTGTGAAGATCCCTTACCTTGCCAGCCAGGGTGGCAGGGCCCAGGAAGAGACAGGCTAGGTAGTTTCAGCTTAGTAGGCCTGGCAGAGAGCTGCAGGAGCCATCTTAGTTTAGGGAAGCTCCAGTTCAGAGAGGGGGAGTGGCCGAGGCCTGAGCCAGCCCAGCAACAGCCAGGATTGGTTTGGAAAAGGGGGGCGGAGTTAGACAGATGGAGGGAAAAAGAGAGAAGCTTATTTTGAGAGGGGAGTTCAGTTCTGGGTGATGTTAGAGTAGGATTAGAGTTTTAGGAGTCTCTGTTAGGAAATAGGCAGCTTGCCTGTAGTTTGCACAGCAAAGTAGGCTGTGGCAGACTGGTTTCAGCTATTTTAGAGGAGAAATAGCTGGGTTTTGTTTAGGAATTGTAACAAAGAATAGAACCATTCTCTCAAAGCAACCGTTACGCTACTAAGAACCAAGAGCACTTTGATTGTAACAGCCAAGTTTTTGAACCTGCATTCACTTTTATTCTGTAACTTGTATTCAATAAACTCTTTCTTGTTATTTTTAAAACTTAAGCCTGAGTCATGTGCCATTTGTAGATTCAGTCCCTTTTCTTTTGAAATCAACCTCACCTGTTTTCCCTCAAAGAAGCTCTTTTAAAAGAGACAGTATTTGGTGGTCCTAGAAGTGTTTTAAAAAACCTTTTAACATTCAAAATAGCTAGAGGGTGCCTGATTATTCGGTTTATGGTGGCAGCGAAAGGTTTTAATAAAGAGACATCCCCTCAGACGCTATAAGTGCCAAAGTGGTGTGAATTCCTTATTTAAGGAGGGACAGTGTTGGGATCTGTTTGCCCCCTGTCCAGTGATATTGTTTGGCCATAAAGACTGCCTTTCAGATTAGGGGTAGATGGTGGAATGATCGCATTGCCATCTGCCTGGTCATTATAATTGGTGGGGCAGTGGTTGGGATTGCTTTGACCCCCCTGCCCAATCGGCCATCGAGGGTATCTTTATACTCTTCATAATTGATATCATTACTTTTTCAAAAGAATATAATTAGTATTGTGAATGCAACATACTTATGTTTATTGTAGATTTTTGCTTATTGTATCTTGTACAAGCTGTGAAATATATGCTTGGTATTGTTCTACTTTGGTAATAGTAGACCTGTTGTCTTGCTGAGGCATAACAGACTCAGTCGAACAGCTGAAATCATGGGAGTATCATTGCCTTTCTCTTTACATACATTGGGATTTGTAGTTCAGAGAAGGGCATTTAAAATTTCCAGCCAGAGAGTTGTGTATATATTGTTGGGAAGTGTGCATTGGCACTGAGGTCCCTTCCACACAGCTGAATAAAATCCCACATTATCTGCTTTGAACTGGAATATATTTGGTAGTGTGAACTCAGATAACTCAGCTGAAAGCAGATATTGTGGATTTTCTGCCTTGATATTCTGGTTTATATGGCAATGTGGAAGGACCCATATTCTTTAAAACCAAATGATGTCAAACATACTAAGTTACTAAGTTTGGAGCACCCTCTGCTGGTCACAGTTTAATCCTTACAATTTAATTTGCAATCCACACAATTGGTAGAAGGGAGGCATGGAGTTGAAAATGATGCATTAGAATGTAATTTTTATCCTAAGACTATATAGTTTTTGTCCTCTTTATTTGCAATGCTACATTACCAACTCCATTCAATGTAGCCATGCAGTGAGAAGTTTATCTTAAATATGCTTAAGCTCAGCATTTGCTACATTCTATCAAAGGGAAAGCAGTAGGTTATATGTAAATATTTAAAGTTTGTAAATAGAGGCAACCTATTTTACATTAGATGGTATCTGATTATTCTTGAAATAAAATTAGAATTGTTAATGCTGGTTTGAGACCATTAAAATGTTTTATGTGAACATTATAGTTCCATGAATTATTCTGATTTTCTCAACTTTTGCAGGGCTAAAGATGGCTGTCTTAATGCAGATGAGCTCTTCGCTAGTTTTCTGCATAATCTAGGTATGGAGTTTCATTTGCTTGTTTCTTTGTGATCCACGTGCTCCCAATTTCCTCCCATTCACAAAAAAGGAGGGAAAAAATTTACATCCAGTGATATTCAATGGGTTCGGTTCTCTCTTTAGATTTACAAATGTTGACAATATTTGCCCCTGCCTTCCATTTCTCGGCTTGTGTAGGTAAGGGATGGGGTTCCAGGGCTCTTCTCATAGTTTGCATTTAAACTATGGTTTATATTGAAGTTTGAGAAGAAGATGAGATTTAAAACTTTATAACCGAACAATGGTAAATTTGTATATTACTAGTTATCTTGTTTTATATTGGCAAAGTTATGAAAGATGGGTGGCCAAATTCTTAGAAAGGACAGTTTCCAGATCTACAAATAACAAGAAGAACAACAACAACAGTAATATATTACTCCGGCCTTCTAAATATGCCTGCATCAGCTACAGTGGCTTTCTTGTCCTGCTGCATTCCGGCAAAACAATGCTAGACAATTGCATTTATATTCCGGGCTGGGAGTAGGTTTTTGGGTTTGGCTGTAGGTTTTGTGGGTTTAGTTGAACCTAAAATATCTATTATTCCTTTGAGATAGTGGTTGGGGTTTACACCTTGCCAACCACTTTGGTAAGGTGTAATAATAATAATAGATTTGGTAAAAAAGTAATAATGATATTATATAATAATAAAACTTTATTTGTATTCTGCCCTATCTCCCTAAGGGGACTCAGAGCGTATTCCAGCATATATACAGACATAGCCAAATACTCAATGCCTTTGAAACACACAATGAAACACAAATGCACAGACAAAGGCAAAGCCTTCCCCTTTCATCTCCGGCTCTGGAGGCAGTGCTTGTTTTTGGCTCTGGGGGAGGTGCTCATCTCCATTTCCAAACCAAGTGCCTACATTGTCCGTAGACAGCTCCTGGTCGCGTAGTTGACATGATTTCGTGGGGTGCCCTTTTACCTTCCTGCTGAGGTGTTACCTATTGATCTACTCAAATTTGCATCTTTTTGAAATGCTAGGTTGGCAGGAACTGTGGCTGACAGCAGGAGCTCACCCTGTCTCACCGATTTGAACTGCCAACCTTCAGGTTAGCAAGCTTAGCAGCTCATCTATTTAACCCGTAGTGATATTGCAGGCCCAAAGGTGCCAAATTCTGGAAAAAACAGTTATTGTACTTATCTAAATTTATTATACACGTAACAATCTTATTTATGATACAAAATTAATGCCTCTTTGGCCTTTTGAGTTGCTTGGAGTATTGTGTTTACTGATGTTTTGCTCTAAGTCGTTCAACATAGGTTTAATGCATCTTTCCCCAAACTGGGGTTCTTGTGTTGTGTTGGACCAGCTTCCAGAATACACCAGTAGGATCACTGGTTTGAGCTGGAGGTGGATTTAAAAAGTTACAATTCAATCTGTCTGTGTGGCACCAGTATGGAGCAGATTGTCTTATTATTGTTTTAACCAGGACTCCTTGAAAAGTTATATCGATTGCAATAATGCTTCTTATTTTTTTTATTGTAGATGGTAAAGTTGTATTACCAGGAAATATCCTGCAAATCACTTTTTATGGCAGGTCTTGTGACTTGATAGTTACAGAAGTGAAAGGAACAGATGGCGTTCTGCTAAAAATGCCAGACAGCTCAATTTCTAAGCCCACAGAGGAATCATCACTGGAGAATTTTGATACCAGTGATTTCGACTTATCTGCGCAGCTTGGCAAACTCCTCATTGAGGATAGTCAAGGAGCGACATCTACCAGTACTCCATGTAAGGAGGCAGATCACAGCATATCAGTTAATGTTTCCAACGATGCCCTTGTATGCAATGAACTGAGTTTTGGCTCAATAGAAAAGAGTTCGTTTGGTGATGGTGCTCCAATGTCCATTTCTCACTGTGAAGTTAGTGATAAAGGTTTTGGAAGTGAAGAAGTACTACAGAATGATAAAAGAGGAGCACCTTCGACGTCGCAGACATTTTACTTCATCTCATCAAGGACTAAGATCAGATTCACTGAACCTCGAAGCAAAGTAACAGAAGAATGCAATCTTGAGCCAAAAGTTACTTATGATTCAATAGGTGGACTCAGTGACCAGTTGAAAAGTATAAGAGAAATTATTGAACTTCCTCTGAAGCAACCTGATCTCTTTAGGCGTTATGGTACGATATAGATGAAGTTAATCTGTGAGTTACTGTCATTCATGAAATGGTATAAAGTCCATTTAAAGAATATTTACTTTAGGCCCTATTATATGTAATTTGTTTTCTGCGTATGGTTTTACCTGCCTCTCTCTCTCATTTGTGGGCTGGGTTCATACAAAATGATAAGCCAAGATTTCGGAGACTTTTAGAGGTCAGGAGTTTTTAAACCAGGACCAAACCTTGTATGCAGTTCTGGCTTGTTAAAGATTCCTGGTTTGGACAACATCCACACACAAAAAGAACATTTTCCAATTTGGCTTTCATGGCCAGAATCACCAATTTTTCAATTTGTTTAGCTGATTATTCAAGTAGGAAGAGTCAAGCAAGGTAGAGTTCATAATTGTTCTCTGTAAACAATGTGTTGCCAACCTTTCACAGTGACAGACAAATCTGTCCTTAATCATGCAAAGTAGTTATTCTCTGGATTAGGAATGTGTTTCACTATGTGGATAAATTAAAAACAACATTCCAGTACCTTGATTGTGTCACTTTCTAATTGTCCTTGATGATTTTATAAACTTTGGGTCATAGGCTAGATCTAAATTACCATAAAATACAGTTTGGAATGGCATTATATAATCAGTATAGACTTACATAATGCAATCCAAAGCAGTTAAATTGCGGTATGTGGGTCTACATCAGTGGTTCCCAACCTTTTTTTTGACCAGGGACTACTTTGACCTGGGACCATTCTCCAACATTAGTACCAAAAAGGTTACAGATCAGTTTTGGGTCAACTTTAGATTTGGTTTGTTATTTGGGGTGCTGATTTAGAAAATTGCATTGGATAGACCACATCAGCTCTAGTTTCCAATACAAAACATATGCCATCCGGTGGTCGCCATCTACTCGCCCACAGAAAACCATATTTAATAAGCCTTCACACTGTAAGAGGGTTTTGCAAGACCAGTCAGTCTCATTCCAACTGTGAAGTAACAGTGAGATTGCGGACCATATTTTAGTCTGCGGACCACTGGTGGTTCACGGACCACAGGTTGGGAACCATTGGTCTACGCTGACCATATTATGCAGACTCAAACTGCATTATATAGCAGTGTAGATCAAGCCGTAGTGCACTTTTATTAAATTATTGAAGACAATATTATCAACATTGTTTTTATTCATTTAACTATTATGCTAATTATCTTTAATAGCTTAATGATTGTATATTTGTATACAGGTGAATAGCCCCCTACTTACAGCACTTTGCCCTGAAACAGAATATGGAATTGGGTCAGGCTTTGCATGAACCAAGGAGAGGTGCTATAACAATATTGCATATCTCCTCAAATTACCTGAAAGGTTGGGCGATTCTGTGTAGCTAAACCTGCCTGTCCTTTCTCTCAATTAAATCTCCCTTCTATTCCCCGGTTATGATCCAGGCCTTTGCTGAAAGTCCCCAGCAGAGGATGCTATGGGGAAGAAAGGCCATGCAAAGTGTGAAGCAAGCGATGCCATGTGTGTGATTTGCAGACATTTTTTACATTGTGATTTGCGTTTCAGGATTTCATCAATTAGAAGGTGACACAATCTAGGGAAAGCTAATCATTCTAATCTAATTAAAAGCAGAAACAGAGTGTCATGTGCTTATTGATGATTATTTTTACTCTTTATTTTTTTAAATGATTATCCTGTTTTGTCCAAGAGCAATGTGGCTAATCCAGGCATGGTCAAACTTTGGCCCTCCAGGAGTTTTTGGACTTCAACTCCCACAATTCCTAACAACCTGTTAGGAATTGTGGGAGTTGAAGTCCAAAACTCCTGGAGGGCCGAAGTTTGCCCATACCTGGAATAATCAGTAATATAATGGTCGAAATTTGAGTTGTTTTACAAAACAGGATAAAGCCATTGTAATAGAATACATCCAACAGTAAGCTATTGAAAACTTTTTCTTTTGTTTGTGGATCCTAATGCATAATAACCGCATTGAGTCGCCTGTTAAGGGCTGAAAAATGCGGTATAGAAATAAAGCAAATAAATAATAAAATAAATAATAAATAATTTCCAGTAGCAATCTGTTAAATTACAGGAGATAATTCAAATATAACTTTGATCATTTTGTTTTGAAATCAGTGTAACACCTTGAAGTGCTGCAGTCTGGCTGGGTTGTTCTGAAAATATAACTTTGGCAAACCATCATCTCCATAGTTAGAAATCAAGTTGTATCAAACAAAAATTATGTCCAGGTAAAGATGCAAAGGATTACAGCGTTATAGTGTAATTCTGTGTATGCTTATTCAAATTTAAACCCCATTGACCACTGATATTTGATTATGATAACACCCTTTAAGTTTCTAATTTGGTAATTAGAAGTACCATAATTCCAAATCTGGTAACCAGAGATGCTCATTAATCAGCATTTTGCAACCTGGGGGTTGGGACCCCGTGGGGGGGGGGGTATGAGGGGGTGTCAGAGGGCTCACCAAAGACCATCAGAAAGTATTTTCTGTTGGTCATGGAGGTTCTGTGAGGGAAGTCTGGCTGAATTCTATTGCTGGTGGGGTTCAGAATTCTCTTTGATTGTAGGTGAACTATAAATCCCAGCAACTACACCAAATGTCAAGGTCTGTTTTCCCCAAACTCCACATTTGGACATATTGAGTATTTGTACCAAGTTTGGTCCAGATGTATCATCCATTGTGCTCTCTGGACGTAGGTGAATTACAACTCCAAAACCCAAGGTCAATGCCCACCAAACCCTTCCAGTATTTTGTCTTGGTCATGGGAGTTCTGTGTGCTAAGTTTGGTTCAATTCCATCATTGGTGGAATTCACAGTGCTCTTTGATTGTAGGTGAACTATAAATCCCAACAACTACAACTCTCAAATGAAAAAATCACTTTTCCCCACCCCACCTTACCAGTATTCAAATTTGGTCGTAATTTGTATTTGTGCCCAATTTGGTCCAGTGAATGAAAATACATCCTGCATATCAAATATTTACATTACAATTCATAACCGTAGCAAAATTACAGTTATGAAGTAACAACAAAAATAATGTTACACGAGGAACTGTATTAAGCGGTCGCGACATTTGGAAGGTTAAGAACCACTGTCATAAATAATGAGTGAAAATAATACAGATCTTTTAACAATAAACAAAAATAGTAGTCAAGTCAAGTTTATTCGATGATTAGACCATAGGTCTTTCACTTATAATGCAAATAGATACATACATGAAAACCAGATTATTAAATACAATATAAAATACTCAATTAAAATCCTATAAAATGTTACATATATTGGTGGCAAGATGCACCCTTAAAATACTACATATTCTATGGACTCGCACCTGCGTAATTAAAAACCAAATAGATACAACATTATTAAATCTACATAAACAGCCACTATTAGTTAAAAGCATCCCCAGCACAGTCGACTGCAATATCAGAGATTAGTCTTGCCCAGATTTTCTGTGCTGCCAGGGCAAAAAGAGACACTTTGTGAGTAACCACAGGGTTAGTGTCAGCCAAGAGATAGAAAATCTTTTCTGACATAGTGTTGGTTTAAAGAAGATGAAGGATAGACCTCAGGATTTTGGTTCTTGGCTCAGAACAATAACAATATTGACTTTTAACAATAAACAAAAATGGTAATGGTAATATAAGAAAACCACATTATTTGAAATGGATTTAACAAAAAGCATTGTCATGGTGGCACATCTTTGAAAATATTACAGATTTTAAATATGTCTTCACATTACAGAAAATACTAACAAGATCGAATCATCTTCAGTTCGGTGCATGGTGTTTATTAAGGTCGTTTAAATTATCCTTACAGTGGTAGTTTTGGCATCTTGATCACTTTGTTAGTTTTAGAAGCTGTGCCCATTTACAAAACGTTTCTCTTGTAGACAAAAAGTTGTTGTCATTGTGAATGTTTGATTCTGACTTTGTACCCGACTTTCCGAAGGAATCCCGCCTCCAAGGGGGGTGCTGCTCTATGGCCCTCCAGGAACAGGGAAGACGCTGATCGCCAGAGCGGTTGCCAATGAGGTGGGAGCTCATGTCACCACGATTAATGGTCCAGAAATAATAAGCAAGTAAGTAAGTAAGCCTGCTCCATTTATTTCAGCCGGGCAATGCGCAATTTTGTCTCCTGGCTGGAAATTGGTCACTTACATTTGTAAACAGAAGTGAAGGAATGATTGATGAGCTGTTTATATGAGAGAGTTTGTGCAATCATTAAGTAATCAAGGATGTGTGCCCATGTGGAGAATTGCATGGATAAGATGCCAGTAACCTTGTAAACAGTCAGAGGTTTATTGCCGAATAATTTATTTTTTTCATTTTGTTGCAGGTTTTATGGAGAGAGTGAAGCCAGGCTACGACAAATATTTGCTGAAGCATCTCTACGGTATGGCTGCGTTTTTTAAAAAGAGTTTAATCAGTTTTGTGAATCATGAGATGCTAGTGCAAACTCTCAAGTCCTATCAAGTCTTTATGGAGGTTTATAAAATTATGAATGAGGCAGAGATAGAAAATGTTTTATTTTCCCTGTTTATACTTGGTGTATCCTTGTAAAATTGAGCAGTTGTAGATATAGGACAGGTTTATAGCAAGTACGTTGTTCCTGGGCTTAGATCAATACTGTTTGAAGCAATGCTCCATGAACCGGTGCCAGTCTGTAAGACATGTATCCAGGAAAGAAAGGAAAAAAAAAACAAAAAACAAAAACAGGAGATTAACCATTGTGTATAAATATAGTACCAGCCCAAATCACATGATGGGGAGAAACCTTGGCAGTTTCCCACATTGCATAACTTCAAAAATATTGATTTCACATCACTTTCAAAATTACTCACCCTTGCATTAGATGTTCAGTCCTTATAATATTGATTATATTGATGATGATGATGATGATGATGATGATGATGATAATAATAATATACTTAGCCCGAAAAAACCTACAACAACCCAATAATATACTTTATTTATATTTCACTCTATCTCCTCTAGGAGACTCAGGGAAGATTACACAGCACATATATGGCAAACATTCAGTGCCGTTATACAGTTAACACGGACAGACAATACGTAAACAGAGGTATAGGCTTTCCCATCGTTTCCATCTCTGGCATCTGGAGGCTGTGCTTGACTCCGGCTACGGGATGGTGCTGTCACTCTATCTTCCATGTGGAGGAACTTTGTTGTCCGTAGATGCCGGCATGTTCTTATGGGCGCTTTTTATTACCTCCCCGCTAAAAGCGGTACTTATTTATCTACTCACATCACTGTTTTCTATCTGCTAGGTGGGCAAAGCTGGGCTGATGGTTGGAGCTCACCCCAACCCAGGCTTGAACTGCCAACCTTTCGATGGGCAAGATTTTCTACAGCAGGCGGTTTAACCTGCTGTGCTAAAGCCCAGCCCTATTGTATGTTACATCTCACAATAGCCCAGGGCTGATAAAATCTCGCATCCATAGGTCACAAGTGAGGCTGGTGGGGACGAGGAGCAGGGCTTTCTCAGTGGTAGCCCCTCACCTGTGGAACTCACTCCCGGGGGAAATCAGGGCATCATCATCCCTCCTCTCCTTCAGGAGGAGGGTGAAGACGTGGTTATGGGACCAGGCCTTTGGGCAATCTGGCAATTAAATAAGACAATCAGGCGAGTAAGACCAACAGGATTGACGAAGTGGAATGGAAAATTAGAACTATGAGTTAGCGAACGCTGACCATGTAGGAGGAGGAATTGGGTTTGTATTGGTTTTATTGATTTTATTGATTTTATAGTTATAATGCATGAATTGTTGTTAACTTGAATTGATGTAATTTTATGTATGATTGTTCTGTGATGCAGGCATCAAATTGTTTGCTTCTGTAAGCCGCCCTGAGTCCCCTTTGGGGTGAGAAGGGCGGGGTAAAAGAACCCCAAATAAATAAAAATAAATAAAATAAATAAATAAATATGGGGAATACCACTGCTTTAACTGTGCGGATCTTCGGTTCTCTCTCTAGATAATTATATATTTTGATTGTTTTACCTAATGAAGCACAATAACAATTTCAGTACCAGAGTGAGCCAGTGAGATCAGTGTGTATTATGCACTTGTGTTCGTATTGAGAAAAAATTGTTATCTTTTTTTTCCAGTCGACCATCTATTATATTTATTGATGAAATTGATGCACTCTGTCCAAAGAGGGAAGGGGCACAGAATGAATTCGAGAAAAGGATTGTAGCTTCCTTATTGACATTGATGGATGGCATTGGATCAGTAAGTAAAGTACAGTGATGGAATGACTACTCCTGGACTTGTATTGTCGAAGGCTTTCATGGCTGGAATCACTAGGTTCTTGTGGGTTTTTTCGGGCTATATGGCCATGTTCTAGAGACATTCTCTCCTGACGTTTCGCCTGCATCTATGGCAAGCATCCTCACTACCTCTGAGGATGCTTGTCATAGATGCAGGAGAAACGTCAGGAGAAATGCCTCTAGAACATGGCCCTATAGCCCGAAAAAACCCACAAGAACCTACTCCTGGACTGTACCTTGGCCATTGTGTTCCTATATCCAAATATCTCTTTTCTGTTCTTCGGTAACCAAGGTTCTGTATAATTGTTCCACTTTTAATAAAAATTATCTTCTAAAGTAAATCACCTCCAATTATTTAGCTATTTACTGAGAAATAAGCCCCACCTTATTCAGCTAGATTTACTCTCCATGTAAGATATAAATCTAAGGGATTTGAAGTACTGTACATTGAATGAATGTGTTAGGAAATGTTAGATTTATATCTGGATCTCCTACATCTAAATGCAGTATTTTTTTTTTTATCATACTGCATTTATTTCTGTCCCTGAAAGAGTAAGCCTGTCTTTTATTGGTCTTCTAGGAGGGCAACGAAGGGCAACTCTTGGTACTTGGAGCCACGAATCGTCCCCATGCTCTCGATCCAGCCCTGCGCAGACCTGGCCGCTTTGACAAGGAGATAGAAATTGGTGTCCCCAATGCACAAAACCGGCTAGACATCTTCAACAAGCTTCTTAATAAGGTTTCTCATTCATTGACGGAGACAGAGTTGGTTCAATTGGCTGAGAGCACCCATGGATATGTAGGAGCAGACCTGGCGGCACTGTGCAAAGAAGCAGGTAAGGCTAAATATGTGTCATGGTGAGAATCAGTGATCTTGCTAGTTGTTGTTGTTAACTGTCATGTAGTTGATTACAACTGACTTATTTTTAACTTTCATAGATTCTAACTATGTTTAGGTACTACAGCCAGCCCTTCAAATTTGCTGGAGTTAAGGGCACAGAATCCCTGATAAAGTGAAAAAACACAAATAAAAATGATTTATTTATTTACAGCATTTATATATCACTTTTCTCACCCTGATGATTTTTTTAACCTGAGAAAATACCTTTCTGGTAATGCCTAAGTTCTCTGCCACAACTCTGTGGTCAACATCTACCAAAAGTTGGTCATAGAATTACACTGGAGGACCTAGGGATTCCCAGAGACATGTTAAAAGTCAAATCTGCAAGTGCGGAGAGCTGAATGTATAGGTAAATCATGATTTTTTTCTACATGGGCTTACCTGATGTTTGAATCAAAAGTTAGCATGATTTCATATGTGTCTAATTACAATCTAGTTTTGCAGTCTTGAACAAGGCATTTTGTTATCCATACACAACAGTTATAAGCTACATCTAAAAGCAAATTATTAACTCGCATGTGTGTTTGTGTATTATGGTTTTAATTTGTACAGGTCAATTTTAATTTAAGGTTGAAAATGTATAAATATAAAGGCAATATGTTTAGGGATTTTGTTTATCTTGTTTGAAATGACCTCATTTGACCACACAACCAACCCATACCTTTTTGTGAACCTTTGCTGGCTGTTGTATACTAATGTCGATGTTTTGTTTAGACTTACGTTATTATAGATTTTTGTCTGATTATGTGTAGTTTAATTTATTGATGTCAGGTTTAATTTACTGATGTTAGGTCTTAATTTGATGTTAGGCTTTAATGTTACTTTTATATGTGGGGGTTTTCTGGGATTTTATGTTAGTATCATGTGTTTTATGTAGGCATTGAATGTTTGCCATTGTTATGCTGGAATCCGCCCTGAGTTCCCTTGGGTAGATAGGGCAGAATACAAATAACGTTTTATTATTATTTATTATTTGAGTTTGTTTGCGGATGTATATTACAAAAAGCCTGTTGCATAGGATGTGAAAAATATATAAGAAATCCTTTTACTTCAGACAATGAATGGGTACTTTTCTTTTAATTATGAGTCCATAATTTCTTTATATTGAAAAACAAAGAAACCCCAAAACCACTTTTTGCTGAGATGAAATGTATTTCACTATGTTGGGAATCTGAGCTGTCAGGCTCAAAAATAACCCTCACTTGGGGTGATTCCTCCATGAATATAGCAGAGCGATAGAAGCAAACTTCTTAACCAGCAAAAACTTCTGTGTAATGAGTCAGGATTAGCTTCCATTGAACAGAATAGTACAGAATTGCAGAGACAGAACTTTAGGTTCAAAATATTTATTCAAGAAAAGAAATACATTTTGGATAGAAAAGGTCTTGGAGCCCACTAGCTTGCTAAAACTCATATTCTAAGGAAGGTAAAAGGATAATAAGTCAAAATATCCATGCAGTTACATTTTACCTGGAGAAAGGCAAAATGCGTCCTCACTGGAAGGGAGACAAAGAAGAGAGAGAGCAATGGAGAATGACTACATGGCCAAAACCCAGGACAATAAAAATACCTTTAAAGAGGAAGTTACCTCATACCTCACAGAGATTCCATTGTTACATCTTCCAAGGGGGAGAATTATTTATTTATTTTATTTACAATATTTCTACCCCGCCCTTCTCAACCCCTGAGGGGGGACTCAGAGCAGCTAACACCGGCAACAATTCGATGCCGCAATATTAATATAACAACAATATAAAAACATAAATATGCAATAAATTAAAAACATAAATGTGTGATAGATTAAAAACAATTAAAACCAATAACAAGAAGATAGTGGTGAGCAAGAAGAGTAAAAACAAAGTCCCTTCTGGGAGAAGCATGCATAGGAATGTGGGGGAAAATATCCCCCACTCTAATCCTATATCTAAGCCTAGCTACTTATTGAGGACTGGAGACTTGATGACACAAGAGACTTGTGTAGACCAGGGATGAAACCCAACAAAATGGGACCAATTAAAATGCAAATAAACACTCTGTAATCTTATTTAACAGATACTAAGAACAGGATATATCACATTCATGTAACTCAGTGATACATTGCAGGTCTTATATATGGATCAGTATACACAAGCTCTAGCTATACGGTAAGTGAAAATTAGATGTAAAAATGGTTATTTTTGATCAAATCCTATTGTCTTCAGGACAGCAAGGAATCTTTTGTTAATGCTACCATCTAAGGAATCAGACTGAATTTGCATAGGATTAGTAAATGCAAAATATTTTTCAAAAATATTTTTCAAAATTTCATATGCTGTAGCGAAGTTGGAAAAAATGGCATCTAAGTAGACAAAAAGAAAAGTTCCCATTTTATATTGAGCAAGTTTATGGTGTAGTATTCCTTTAGCAGTTACTGTACTGATGCGACATCTGGTGGTAGAAAGTGAGTTTTCAACTATCATTTTGACTTGGATAAAAGAAATTCCAGAGAATCTCTATCAGAATAAACACAATCTTTATATTTAACAATTATAACAATAAATAAATAAATTTATTATAAACTATTTAAATTCTTGTTTGTAAATCTAGACTATGTTGTTAATGAAGTACTAAATCAAAGGTTCATCTTCTAAAAATTATAACTAGCTTAGGAACCCTGCATTGCTCGAGTTATTTGAAAAAGTCATTTTTTTAAATTTTTACAAAATGCGTAAGGTTGTAGGTAAACTGCAACTCACATCATGCCAGGTTAACCCCCTGAAACTCCATCAGTAGTTCAAGTTTGTCACGTTGGGCAAGTTTGCTCTAGATGCGTCATTGGTGAGGTTCAGTGTGATCTCTGGCTGCAGGATAAACTACAGCTTCCACTATGGTAGGTCAGTCCCTTCAAATCCCTCCAGTAGGTTCAGTTGGTCATAGGGGTTCTGTGTACCAAGTTTGATCCAGATCTCTAATCGGTGGTGGTCACAGTGTCTCTGGATGTAAGTGAACTACAACTTCCAGAAATGAAGGTTAGTTTCCCTAAGCCCCTCCAGTGTTTTCAGTTGGTCATGGTGGTTCTGTGTGCCAAGTTAGGTCCAGGGCCATCGTTGGTGGGGTTCATAGTGTTCTTTGATTGCAGGTGAACGATAAATCCCAGTACGTACAATGTCTATAAATCACAGGGTGATTTCCCTTCAAACTTCTCCAGCATTTTTCTTACGTCATGGGGGTCTTGTGTGCCAAGTCCATTGTCAGTGGGGGTCACAGTGCTCTGACTTGATGTGGGGTGAACTACAACTTCCATCATGTGGAGTCAATCCCCCAAACTCCTCCAGTATGTTTCATTGCTGATTAGTTCTGCTCTCTTTGTTGCACAGATAGAGTTGAAAAGAGTAGGAAAGGGTTAAGGGAGAGGCAGTGGGCAGGATCATACAAATTCCACACCAATTGAGAGAGTAAGAAACCCTGGGATGTCTATGGTGGAGGAAACACGTAAAATCTGGGATGAAATTGTCTCCGAATGAAAGCATTCCATGGGTGGTGGGCAGTATGGCGTTTGGGGAGGACATTAGCAGCAATTGGGCTATGTATGTCTATATACGTTGTATGTCTTAATTGGCATTGAATATTTGCCATATATGTGTACATTGTAATCCGCCCTGAGTCCCCTGCGGGGTGAGAAGGGTGGAATATAAATGCTGTAAGTAAGCAAGCAAATAAATAAATAAATAAATAAATAAATATGTGTTCATGGCACTCGCTGTAACTGAAATGCCATTGGAGGGAGGCCTATTGGTGTCTCCTGAGTACTGAGAGCTATAGCTGTTTGTGGAAGGGGAGCCTTTGTAAGTGGACACTCCAGCCATATGTACACATATGTACATTATTTATATTTATATTGGTAGACAGATAAGATATACATAGATATACCCTTTCAGAAGTGTTTACCATGTATTATTTTCTTCTACGGCTCTTTTCTCTGCAGTTTCACATTTAGACGTCTTAATGGTTTGCCTGGAATTTTTAGAAAAATGCATTTTACATTGTGAGATAGGATCAGAGTCCTGTCTGTGAAACTGGGGGGATTATTTCTCTTATTATAGTGTATGCAAAAACATATTTGCACTCTTACCTCCATTAACTCTCCACCCCTTCTATTATTTTGTTTATAAATCCTATCACAGTGGCCATTTTTGTATTGGATTGTACACAGATTTGCTGCACACAGATGAATCTCAGCTTGAACAGTATTAAATATTTGAAATACTCCTTTCAGACATTTACTCTGCCTTTAATGCCATGTTTTTGCACTTTATTTCTTTTGACCTGAACTGCTTTGCTTAGGAGAACATTATAACATTGAAATCTTGTGTTTATGCTTAGCTATACCATCACAAGAAGCAGTGTTCAGTAATACAGATAAAGTATTTGTTACAGTGTGTGCCCTAAGTCCCTTCGGGGAGATAGGACAGTATATAAATAAAGTGTGTGTGTGTGTGTGTATATATATTGTATGTATTAAATGTTTTACTAGAAATTAATTTGTTTATTTCCCCGAAATATAATACGAGGATTGAATGAAAAGTAATGCCTCCACCTTCGTAACTCCTCAACAGATGGCAGAACTGGTATGCGGCAGGTACTGGCTTGTTCAGTAGACTTTCCTCTACAGTTCCATTTTGGCGGGAAGCCTTAGCATTGAATGGTTGTGTTGTTAAAGTGCGAAGTATGGAACCGTGCGCAGATGGTCGGTCAATGCGACTTAAGCAACATGCAGTCATTTAATTCTTGACAGCAGAAGGTGTCACCTCAACATCTTTAAACTTACTCGCCCAATGACACACAGTTCTCACATCAACACAATCACCATAAGCAGCTTGCATTCTCTGATGAATCTCCTTTGGGGTGGCACCTTCTGCTGTCAAGAATTCAATGACTGCACGATGCTTAAGTTGC